AGTCACCGCTATAGTCAGTTGAACCTGTTTCAATTTCAGATCATGATTTAGAGTATGATGAATTTTCATCAACTTCTACATCCGAAAATCGAAGTGTTGCCATCTTCACAAAACAAATAGGTTAAGTTCCGATCTGCTATTGTGCGTATTTTAATTACTGTTTATTTACGATTCTGCAGTATAAGACGAGTCACAAAAAAAATATCGAATTCAAAACTGAATTACTCATAAAAATGATGGGTATATATATACTTGGCATGGACAAGAAAGAACATTCTAGAATATATTCGAGTAAGATATATATATATAGAGAGAGAGAGAGAGAAAAAAGAAAGAAAGAACAAAGGACAAGAAAATGCACTGAAGTAATCCCAATGTATAAAAAAACGAGAAAGATATGGCTTGTGTGCTTCTCATGCATTATAAAGAAAAGAAGCAAGAGAACAAAAGACAACCATATCTACACCACACTGACTGTTCCCTATACACACTCTTTTTTCTAATACATAATTTCTAGAGCATGCCATTATGAAACGATGGTATCACAAGCTTCAGCTATTTGATGCTTATCTCTATGCAGACGAATCTAAAAAATATGCATTACGATTGATTGTGCTAGTTTTGTACACTAATAAAGTTCATGACGTATATATACGTCGGCGTCAGTTAAAGGGTTAAAACGTAATAGGATACCATGAACATTGATCACAGCTAAAAAAAATAGAAGCTTATACGATCATTTAACTTGCTTAGATCGAATAGTATACAGTCAAATATTGTTAAATATTACTGCTGGCATTTCGTTGAATGTCCATCATATCTCAATCCGTTATTGATTCCATCAATAACATTGTTATTCAAGTCTTCTCGGTCGGAAAATATCAATTTAAGAATTTTGAGAAGCTACTTATAGATTTGGATTCGTCGATCTCAAAAACGTTCGATGAAACTCATGAAAAACAAAAATCGTCATTTTCGCGTAATTTCTAAAAAGAGTGATGTATCTCATAATCATGGTAGACTATAATGAATGGTTGTAAGCACTATTGAAATTAAAACGTTAAATTTATTGTCTAAACAATAGTAAGTATAGTCGATGGTGTATGGATGTGTAATCGTTCTTGGCGAAGTTTGAATCGGATCTTTTGATAACATACTAATTAAAGTTTTATTTCCGTTATTTTGGCTTTGAAAACAGAAAATGAAACATATGACAAACCTTATCACATAAAGAGATGATCAGAATCGATTTAAACTAAAGAAAAACGATAAAACACTCTAAAAATGATTCTAGAAAAAAAAAAGAACACATTCGATCTCTATTTCTAGTTAACAGCAACTGAAATCGAGCGGACAGAAAACTGGAATATATGCAATACAAGACTCATATATGTTTTCTTTTCTATTGGTAACAGAAAAAATATTAGAATTTTTTTTGTTGATTGTATTTAATACGACTTCATTTTATAAACTCTTGTCTAAATCAATTAGTTTATCTTTTTATAAAGCTTTATTCCTATTATGATGTTTTGTCTAAAAGAATTTTTTTAAAATTAATTCACAGATTTCAAAGGGCTTATATTTAATTGAACAATAAAATAATTTAAATGAGCAATAATGAAATTTAGCAATAATTATATGAAATGAGCAATAATTAAATGGAGTGAACAATGATTATATGGAATGAACAATAATTATACTGAATGAACAATAATTTATTTAAATTAAAGGTAAATTTTGTATTAGGTAGATTTTATATAAAAAGAGTATTATAGTGTAAGTCGCTTATATATCTTTTTTTCCTGTCTTCTCTTCTACGATGTCGTAAAGATGACAAGTACAACACATATATATATCCGAGTTGACTTTAAAATATTTCAAAATCAACTCCGATATATACATATATCTTTTGTTTTTTCTCTCTTCTTTCCTTTCTCTCACTTGGATATTTCTCTTCTATTGATATTGTTCAGGTATATTTCCTTCTTCGTCATATTTTCTTTCTAGGAGGGTGTTTGGCTTTTTCCTAGCTCATTTATAAATATAATTACCATTTCGCCAATAAAGTAGTAGTTCAGTATTGATGTGTTAGATCAATCATCCGTTATCAAAGGGCAATATGAATTCAGTTATATATACAAATACGTATTTTTTTCAATTTTACAAAATAAAGTATAAAAAGAAAACGAGGCAGACTATCTAAAGCCAAAAAAAACTTTATTCACACAATAATATCCTGTTTTTTTCTTTTTCTTTTTTTTTCCAATTTTAAATAACTTTTTTATTTCTCTAATTCATATAAAATAATATAGTTTTTCTTTTTATTTTATTTCTAAAATATGAAATTACTACTGCTACTTAATGAATTAATTATTGTACATTTAATAATATAAAATTACTCAAATAAAATTTTTTTGTTGCTCAAAAATTATTGCTAAATCGTATTTTAATTATTGCCCATGCCAGTATTTCTATTGCTTAAATAAATACTAACCATTTCAAACTCACTTAAATCCTCATGTCAACTATGACTATTATTATATTCCACTTTAATAGAACTCTAGTTTAATCTAGGAAGTTGCAGATTTCGCAAATGCTCCTATTTGAAATGTAGTTTGTCTTAGCAAGCTCCAACCAAAGCTAAAATTAAGGATCTTTAAGCTTATGCCTTTTGAGTATTATTTTTTTTTATCGATGTTTATTTTGAATTTAACGTAATTCATAGATGATATGTAAAATGTAAATATATTATGCTGTTAAGTTTTGTTGAGTTATGTTCTAACCAAAAAAAAAAAGAAAGAAAAAGTGAAATATTTTTTAGTTTATGTATTTCCTATGATAGAATAATAACTGCATTTTCTCGAAATTTAATAGTCCAAATATTTAAACTGTTAATTCGCCTTGTTCATAGAAATGCTTTCGAAAATCATTTTCCAATGTCGACATAGAAGAATTCATTGATGTATACATTACAATATGAATTAATGAAAATGACTACTCTGTCTAGTTACAAAGGAAAGGACGTATCATAAGTTCTTGATGTAAACGAAAATTTGAATTTTGTTTTTAAATAAAAGAAAATTATTTCGTAGTTTTGCGCCTAATTAAAAACAAATTTTGCCTAGGATCTTATAAATATATATAGATGCACTCAAATATGATATTCTCATATGCTGATTTAGTAATGAACCTGGAAATGCTAAAAAAAATCGAACGCTTCAAACAACTTGCACAAAAAAAAAAAGTTTAAGAAGTGAGGAACCTGGCTGAATTTTATAGAAACCTACAAGAATTTCATCGGAATTCAAGTTTCGATACTCCTATGAAAGTTAAATATTGGTTCTTACAGGATATTGGTCATTATCCCAGTGCCATGATCCCTATAAATCCAAGTATTGGATCTATTATTAACTTCATTCCTCAGATTCTCATCAGTTTTTATCGTTTGGTTAGATTTATCTACCTGAGTTCTTCAATGTTTGTATGCTTATAACAATCATTATTAGAACCGTATTAGAGAAAGTACTAACAAAGTGCTTTCATATTGTTTATATGTATGTGTATGTATATGTAAATGTGTGTTCGGGTGCACGTTTTCGTTCTCTTTCTTTTACAATGGATTAGCTATTACATTGTTGTATATACATCTGCGTCATTTCTTTTCTTCACTCATGAGCATTATCGAAATCCTCACAGTCATTCTTTCTTGTTCTCTTGTGTTTTTTTACTGGTTGCACGATTCTACCTTTTTCTCTTTGCCTGCTTCTAGAACTCGTTGGATGTAGGTCTGAAATTTTTCTGTTAATCGGGTTCGAAAATTTTAGATCTGGCAGACTCTAATAGTCTAAGAAATGTGCATGGTGTACTAGTGGCCGAAGATAAAAAGTCGAAAAGAAGTATCTCGTATCTTCGAAGCGATTATCCAATTACGATTAGACAAAGATGTATGAATTCTGGTGAACTTCTAAGTTTATCTGTCGAACTATATTCAAATATGATCGAAAACAACCAATTTAATACGATATTATAAAGTGAAGAATTTTCTGACGAAAATAATCTCATTTACAGATAACACATATTGAATAATGATTAAGAGAAATGACTCCATGTAGAAGTATGTTTTAACTATGTGCACATTCGTATGAATCATTGTTCAATGATAATACATCCGCAATAACAAAAAAATACAGTAACTATTCGTTTTTGCTAATACACTTTGTGTGTTGTCTTTATAAAGTAAATTTTATTTTCGTTCGTTATTGTAGTTACTTCTAAAGGAAAAAAAATTATTCAAGAGTTCTTTTGTTTTCATTCACCTACGTAGCTAATTGTTCGTTTCTGTATTTTCGAAGCCATCTATGATTTAAAACTGTCAATAGAAGTAAGAAAAATCGTCAATTGTTCGTATGACATTCTCTCACTGTACATAACTGAATAAAATGAAAAAGAGAAAAAAAAACAGACTTTCGAGGGCATCACAGCATCGCAAAAAAAAATACAATTAATCTGTGTATACAAAGAATAAACAAAAAAGCAAATCCATCCAGTCTGACTATTCGATCAACATAAAAAAAACCGACTAGAACTATAGGTAGTATTCATTGTTGATAAACTATTTAAGTTAGTTAAAATACTCTACAGTGTATTTTGTCTACAAAAAAAAGTCTACGAAAAAAAACGTATTGTACAACAACAATTGAAAAATTGTTGTCTTCCGATTATTATAAGTCTTATGTATGCTGTCCTAGAAAAATAAGTGATAAAATTTTTCAACTACTACGTATGATTTCTTTCGAGATGTATAAAGTAAAGAAGGAAAACAGGTGATATTGTGGAATTCTATCAAACTTGTTTGTAGTTAATTATTTCATTATGAAATATTTATTTTTCAAGATTAAACTATTTACAATTTACTTTTAAATGTGATAAAATATCAATCCAAATGTAAAAATATGCGCTGTATTACTTTTATATTTTGTAGAAAAAAAAAAAAATACAAAATGCGTATGTCAATTCGTCGTCCGACAATCATCTCTCCAACTACACACATTCGATCTTATAGTTTTGGTCCATTTTTAGCCTTGATTTTAACTGGTTGCCTTTTATCTTTCATCGCAGGTTACATCAATACTGTCTGTATTACTAGTCTATTACAAGCATCAATAGCCGGCTTCACAGGTTCTACATCAAGAATGACTATTGAGTTGGCACAAGGCAATTTTATTAAAACGTTACATTACTTATTCATGATCATTTCGTTCGTATCGGGAAGTTTTATTTCTGCGGCATTAGTAGGAGGTGCATCATTTCGAATACAACGATCATATGGTGTGGTATTAATTCTAGAATCATTTGGACTTGCCTTTGCATTTTTATTTGAAGTAAGCAAAAACAAAAGAAACTTTTACACTCTTGCAAGGATCTATTATATAAATCGTTAAAAATTGAAATATTGATGATTTTTTTTTTTCATACGTTAAAAAAATATAATTAGTTCTGGATACCTTTAATCTAAATAAAAAATGTATTGTACAAAATCTTTAAAAGATTCTTCGTCTAGATAAGCAGGAAGCAATTTTTTAGATTTTGTACACTAGATTTTATGAAACACAATATAAAAGGAGTGTTGAAGTAAACACATTAGCAATGTCTCATTATACACGTGATAGATACAAACATAGAAACGTTACAGATGTTGTTGATATACGATTAAAGACCGTATATCAATAAGGTCTCGTTATTATATATGAAATACTTTCTTATTGCATTTCATCAGGATTAAGTAAAAACATGATGAAGAAATGTGTTCTAAAATAAATAGAATAATGCAATTTATCTATGACTAACAATAGTAGCCACATCGTGTTTCACATTTTCATTCCATAGAAATTCCACTAACAGCTTTTCTATTTAGAGTTTAGCAAATTTTAGTTTATTTTTCTTCAGTATAGATCTAGACAAAGTTATATCGGAGATAGATCTATATTTATAACATAGTTTCACTAGTTTTGAATCGATAGAATTATGAAAACAATGTTTTCAATAAATATTTTGTTTGTAGGAAACTGCATCGAATACCAAAGGAACTTCTATACCTTTGCTAGCGAGTGCATGTTTAATATCTCTTACATATGGCCTTCAAAATGGTATGTGTACAACGTTTTCTGGTGCCGTTATTCGTACAACGCATATGACAGGTATTCTCACAGATATTGGTCTTGTTTTGGGACAAGCAATTTTCTATCCACGAACCCGTAAACATATTTGGAAATTAAAAGTTTTACTTCCTTTATATGGAACCTTTTGTTTGGGTGGTGTGAGCGGATGGTTTGCATATAAACTATTACTTATCAAATCAATGCTTCTAGCATCTGCAATTGTCGGAATTCTAGGTATTGCACATGTTTGCTATTGCAAAATCTTTCTTGTATATAAATCAAAAAATA